ATTCGCAAGACTCTCTGTTTCCCTTGAAAGGATATGAAACTATGCGCTCTGCAATCTTTGCTTCAACGGTTCTTGCCCTGTCACTTGCAGTTTCAGGCTGCGTGGGAACTGTCTCTAGTGGTCCGGGAACTTACATGGGGCCGGGCTATGTGTCTTCTGGTGTAATTCGAAGTGACAATGGTGTCCGACTCATCCGGCGCGGTGACAACATGTATTTCAACGGCCATCGTGGCTACCGCAATCCGCGCAACGGATACCGTTCCTATCAGGGCTACTGGTTCCCGGGCTCGGCTTTTGTCGGGATGGTCACCATCAATGGCGGCTACCAACAGGATCGGCCAAGATATGGCGGCAACACGCACGTCACTTGGTGCTCCGACCGCTATCGTTCCTATCGGATGAATGACAACACCTTCAATACCGGTAACGGTCGCCGCTTCTGCACTTCGCCTTACGGCCGGAATCGCTAGGTAAAATACCTGCCCAGGCCCGCGTTGAGAGATCAGGCGGGCCATTTCCAATTTGTGTCGCAAGCCTTTTCAATTTTCGTTCGTGAGTAGTTTCCGATTCTTCCGCAGGACCTGGTCGCCGCACTATTTTTCAATATGACGCAAGCCGAACCGCAAACCGCCTCGGCTTGGATCGCCTTTTACAAAGGAGTTTCCCCATGAGCCTCACGACCATTCTCATCATCGTTCTCATCCTGGCCCTCGTCGGCGCATTGCCAAGTTGGCCGCACAGCGCCAACTGGGGATATTTTCCGAGCGGCGGGCTGGGAATCGTAGTGCTTGTCCTGATCATTCTGCTGTTAACCGGGCGGCTCTGACTTTCAGTTGATGATCTCGAAATCCGATGCGATTCAATTTGAAGTCAACAATGCTTGGCCTTGCCGCCGCAGCAATCCTTGGCGGCGGCATATGGTACAGTTTGCCGCTTGTCCGCGGCGTCCTCATCGTTCCGGCGATTGTAGTCCAGTCGGATATAGTTCAGACGCTCGTTGCCACAGGCCGGGTTGAAACACCGTCAGTTGTTTCACTTGGCCTGGCAACAGGCGGAACGGTTTCCACGGTTGCCGCGTCGGAAGGGGACCATGTTGCCAAGGGCAAAGTCCTTGTCACACTTGATGACAGTGATGCTCGCGCCATCTTGGAACAGGCCGAGGCGGCAGTGCACCAGTCGCAAGCCAAACTTGCGCAGATCGGCGGAAACGGACTGGCTGCCGCCACTGAAGCGCTTGCGCAAGCTCGCGCAACGTTCAAGAACACACAGCAGAAGTACGTTCGCGTCAGCCAGCTGGCGGTCTCGGGTCTGGTCAGCGATGCAACGCTGGATGACGCCAAGCAGGCACAGGATATTGCAAGCTCGCAGGTTCGCAATGCGGAAGCTGCAGTTGCCACGGCCTCTCCAAAAGGCGCGGATTTCCTTCTCGCCCAGTCTGCGCTGGAACAGTCCAATGCCCTTGCCCGCGCC